CCCCAAAACCCCAAAACCCCAAAACCCCAAAACCCCTTATCAAACAACAACGATTGAAAGCAATCTTAAGAAAGTTATTTAGCAGTGAATCTTATCTTCAGCCTCTGGCTTTGATTCTCCAGAGACAGCTGTGGCCTCGACTGGGGGCTGTGGCGCCTTTCTGTGGGAATATTAGTATTTACAAAGGTTTGAGGGCCAGAAACATACCTTTTACGCTTTCTTTCAATAATATCGGTTTTATTTGAACCATATCTGATTTTTAACATTTTTGAGCTGAAGTAAGCCGGAAGATGCTGATGAATTTTGACATCTAAAATCATAATTTTAGCAAACAAGTAGATTAGAAATAACTCAAGAAAATTTAGTTAAAAGTTTTAAGAAATTCGATAGAATCTTCGAAATGGCTTACCTGAGTTGCCTTCAATAACCTTGTGCATCCTCTTTAGGTTCCTCTTCAAAAAGAGCTTTGGGATTGAAATGGGTAGTTCAGGATTGGACTCTTCATCATCTTCTTCTTTTGATAACCCTGAATAAATTTGCTCGTGAATGCCTCCTGCGAGATAATTGTCACGATAGAAATTTAAATCGTCCAGAAGTCTCGAATTTGTAAGAGGCTTCTTTAGATTGAAGTAGTGGATAGAAATCATCCTACTGATAGGAGAGTACATCACTCTACAAGTATGACCATTAGAAGAACTCATGTCATTTAGAAGATTTTTGTACTCTCACAGATACATCGTGTGCCTAAACAGGTGTTTACTTAAAATACTTACATTTTGGCTCTCTCCTTCCCTGCAAATCCTTCATACTTCTCAAATAGGTTGAAGGAAGAGGACTTCTGATACTCGTCATTATAAAGGCTATGGAATGCCTTACTAGCCACTCCAATAAGTTTATCAAAAGTAAAGAAGAAAAATGCCTTGACTCCTAGGAATACTCTGACGAGTTCCTCAAAAGTTGCTGTATCTAGCTTAGATTTGAACTTTGTCACAGAAACACCTATGAGGATCGCAAGTCGATGTCTGGCGACCCTGTCCTTGATTGTAGCGTCATCCTCAATGACTTCACCTGAATTCTCACCAGGTTGTTCATGAATACCTCGATTTTCCCGAATCCTCTCTTGGGATTTCTTGTATCCTTTGTAAGAATGGATGACAGCGTCTCTATTCTCTGCAAAATCTACCTCAACTCTGTCCTGAATGATTTTCCTGGCAAGCCTGAGCCTCTCATACATGATAAAGAGGCATTTAATGAATACAAAGTGGTTTGGACTTCCAAATGCAACTTTGTATTCCTTCTTGAAATATGGAATGAAGTGCTCCTCCTCGATGCTTTTAGATAACTCCTTTGCATCTTCAGGATCTACTCTTATTGTGGAAGAATTGTGTTGACCTTCCTCGCCAGTTGGTGAACTCTCAAAGCAATCTAGCTCGAGTAGCTCAAGGAAGGTTTGATTTTCAGCATCTGCAAAAGTAAGGCAGTCACTAAACTTTTGGGGGTGGCTACTGTCTGAGCCTGGATCTTTCATACCACCAACCAGATTATCGATTTCTTCGTCCTCGTCCTGCTTGTTAAGGATCCTTGGAGCTAAGATTCCGATCAAAATGTCTCTGTCACTGTCGCTGAACTCATAGCAAGAGACATCATCTGGATTTTTACAACTAAGACCGAATAGAGAAATGTATCCTTTAAGGTACTCAGAATGCTTGTTGTACGAAGAAGGTAAGAACTTGAGGATAGAGAACATTATCTTCAGCGCAAGCTCAAAGCTATATTGGTCGCTCACTTGCATCCTATAAGTCGGCAATTTCTCAGGATATTTCTTCAGCTCTTCAATCTTCAAACTCATTGGTTCATCTTCTATCTCAACAGGTAAGAATGGATTATCTGATGGCTTAAAAGTAGTCATCAAGGTCAGGATTTCATTCAGCTCTATCTTATTATCCAGCTGATGTTGATGCCTCTCTTTTGCTTCCTTGAGCATGTTCTTGGGTACAATTTCCTTATTTCTCCAAAATCTTAAACTGGTGAGAACGATTGTCAAGAGCCTTTTCCCAGTGGTCCCTGCATTGCTTTCTCCATTTATTTCTGCCTATCGTTCTTTTTATCGCTCCAGCATTTTTGTAATTTTTGGAGTCTTTCCATAATGATGGGAATTACTAACAAATTATTCAGATTCAAGAAGTCATATTTCGAGTCAGATTTAGCCATTTCAATTGTGCAGTTGTAAATATGCTTAATCCACTTCATATGGGGAGGTTTCATGTATCTGCTTCTGAGGGCGGTAACCTGTTCTTCAGTCATACTCTTTTGCTCTTCTTCATTCAAGCTTTTAAATTGAGTTTCGAGTCTCTTCAGAGCACCAATAGTGCTATTAGTCATGTTGAGGTAGGCATCTACTTCATATCTCTCATCCTCAACCATGAAGAGTGTTTCTTCACTTGAGTTTCTTTGATGGAATGAGAAATATTCGGATCCTCTTGGGACAGAGACCCACTTGCTGTTCAATGCTTCTGCACCAATTTTGTCGATTCCACTTCAGATTAGCTTGTGGAAATCATTTGGGAACGAGGTATAACTCTTATCAATGATGCCTCAATCTAGGGGATAAGTTAATAGGTACTTACTTGACAAGGAAAACTCTGAAATCGGCTTTGTGAACCACGAGAGTTGTCTTCTGTTAGTCTCTCTACTGTAGATCAAGTTCAAAAATTGGTCATGAATGTCGCTATTCGCAGGAAAATGACAATCAATGAGTTCATTGAGTTCGTCTGCTCCAATTACACCCTATAACTTGTGATTTAGTTGCTTACATCAGAATAGAGGCTCAATATCTTAATGATGTCGTCATATTTGTATTTCTAAAAGATAAGACAAGTCTAGGGATACCTTCTTGAAAAAGTTAAACAACTTGTCAAACAAGTTAGCTTCTAACTTATCAAAGTGCTTTTGCCCAGAAGTCCCTGAGTGCATGATAGCACTCATCTTGGGAACAATTTCTTGGACCCTCTGCCTTGAATAATCAGATCGTTCCTCAAGTTGGGAGGAGTCACCTTCAGCCTCGTTGTCTTCCTGGTCACTCTGCTTCTCATCAGAGTTCTTTTGTTGTGAATCTTTGTCAGAGAAGTCACCAATCATTATTCCATTGTTCGCGTTGACTGGAACTTCTCTTTCTTCATCAGCTTCTTGGCTCTAAAGGATTTTAGAAGAATGCTTACACCACCAGAATGGACGGGTTCATGCTCCATGTCCTTCTCAGTGATCATGCACTGGTTCTTCATCTTCTGATAAAGATGAGGGTGGCCTGACAAAATGTCCTTTAGGGCGTTGAGTTTCTATATCGGATATAGCATCATTGACTCAATAAAAGACCAAATTTAGCAAAAAGGAATGTTAATGAATCAAATACTTGGAATAAAACTTACCTCATTCTCTCCCAATAATTTATTAAAGAGAATGCTTTGAATCTTCTCTACTTTTTGAGGTACAGCTGTCTATAAGATTTGATCATAAGCTCTTACTTTGATCTCACTCAGTAATACAGCAAAGCCTTGTATAGTAGATTTCTAAAAATTAGTCCATCTGAACTTACTTCCGTAACATCATATCTTCTAAGACTCTCAGGGACAAGTCTAAATTTGGTTAAAAAGGTGGAAAACACTCATAAAACAACAAGACAAGATTATCTAGTCTGTGTTGGTGTCCAATCGCCATAAAAATATCAGGGAACAAGGTGTCTTACTCATTAAACATATCAATCAGGGATTTATGTTCACTTCCCTTAGGAATTACTGTGTATCAATTTTGGTAAGTCTGCAGTAAATTCATCCTAAAGTTAAGAACTCTAGACTTACTGCTTGCTGTCATATTCAGAAAGGATAGTCAGGAAGAACTGCAAGCTGTTGTCATCAATCGAATCTATCAGCTTCAGGTAGAACTCCTTGGCATTCTCGTGTAACTTCTTGTCTTTGTTCTGTATTTTCAAAATTAATCTCATTAACATCACCAGTTGAAAAGTAGATAAAAGTTGATGAAAATCGTCCAAATCAGGATATACCAAAGCTAGTTTACTACTCCTCAGCGGTGTATTGCAATAGATATAGTGTGCTAGTTCATAAGGCTCAATTAAGCACCCAAATTGGCTAGTAAATAACCTAAGAGAAGCCTCTATTGGCATCTTTTGAGGTCACAGAAAATTCCAGTCATTAAAAATAAAATAAGAAACTCGAAGAATTATGAAACAATTCTTTGATCTGGCAGAACAATATTTTAATAAATTTGTGAAAAATCTTCAATCTCCTAAATCTCTAGTAACATGCCAGCTTATGGGCTTTCTTAGGGTACATAATCTATTTGAGGTATAAACTCTCTATCGTCTCTATCGCCGTCAAAAGGCAAGAAGGTTCATTAAGAGTAATATAAGAGATAACTTGGAGGAATAGTCTCAACTCTCTAAGTAACCATACCAGTTACAATGTACACTCTTTTTCTCAACTACGAAGAGTTTTGGACCAATATTGGCTAAACTAGAAGATATTTGCCATTCATTTATAACTCCTTATCTTTCAGAGGGTTAAAAGTATGTGAAGATTCGGGTTTCTCCACCTGATTCGAATCTAGCTTAAATTTGGATAAGATCATACAGTATTGACATAGTTGTTCATGGCTCATTTCTAATTTACTCAAGGCCAAAAAGCAGGCATTTCCAATGTGCCCTCTAAAGTTTGGAAAATGGGTCCAAAAGTAGGTAAAATAATAAGAAAATTACTAAATTTTGAAATAATTACTCTAAAGCTCTAATCCTGATGGTTTAGTAGTCCTTACCTGTGTAATCTGGGAACATATAGTTTCCAGGTGCTTATAAGCCTTCATGTTATAAGATTTGAGCTTATACGTGGTGTTATTGACCATGCTCATTTTGGATACAGTAAATTTTTATCAATTAAAGCATCTCTTAACGGGGTTTTGGGGTTTTGGGGTTTTGGGGTTTTGGGG